AAAACAGTAACATGCAAACTTAAAATTACAGTGTAACAAGCAGGAGGTGTTACTACAGAGTCTAGCTAGAGGAAGAACAAACTAAACGGGCTCATGTTCACATAACATCAAAGTATATCGCTAAGAGAAAAACAAATACGTCAAGAAATTACATTCTAAATATGTGCTATCCATGTCCTATTTGTTTAAAAAAATAATTTCATCAGAAGAAATTGTTCATTTCTATGAGTACAATTCCATCTGCATGTTTCAGTTGAAAGGGGTTGTTATAAATTATGCAAGTGTGTTTTTGTTTGTTTTTGTTTTTTTTAAACTTTACATGATAATAGTTTTAAAATATTTTTCACACTCAAAATGGACAGATCATGACCGTGAATTCTAATTAGGTTTAAAATCAATGTTTTCGGCATATTGGTTTTGCATTTATATAGAAGAAGAGGCTTTTTGTTAGCAAAAATTTTCATTAAAAAAAAAAAAAAACAAAAACAAAAAAAAAAAAAACAAACAAAAAACCTTACTTGTTTCGTTATTACTGTACATGAATTTGTTGATTAAAACTTAAAAAAGAAAAGGTATTATCACATTAATTTATCAGATAACTGCAATGAAAGGTATCATTTTCTCACCCTTTTTTAGCAAAACTAAGAATGCTATCAGGGCGTGTGAAAAAAATCATGTGAAATCTGCTTCCACAAATTAACGACACTGTTAGAAAAAATATTAATGACATCCTTTCATGTACACGTGCATTCTACACTGCACGCTTTTCAGGATCTGCCTAATGAATAGAACGGTCCCTATGCACGGGCATTGTGTCACGCGAGTGAAAAAAGATTCCCATTTCCGATCCAATCGTCAATTAGATGTTTCTTTTGTTAAAATGTTAGGCTGCAGCCTAGTCAAGTTCCAGATCCCGTGGGAATTCAGTGATGGAATATTGGAAATCGGTGTTTATATTGGAATCTATGGTTAGAACAGATTTAATCTTTCCGGCATAAATATTTTTTCTTTCTTTTTTATCATCGTTTGATGTATGGAAAGAAGTTTCAGAAGTGAATTTGCATGATTCTGGAAGTCTGTATTGTAGACCAACACATTATCTTTATGGGGACACCACAACGGTTTCTTCCGCAAGATATATTATTTAGACTTTCTTTTTTTAATTTTATACAGGAAGAGGGAAACAAGACAGTTCTTAAAGTCTGGATAAGACTTTTGTTACGTTGAATGAACACCTCACATTTCACGTTTGGGTATCCCCCTTAATTTTTCAATGTACTGTAAGTGGACTTCCACATTACCCGGTAATATTCCTTTGAGACGGTGTCGCTTTCTTATAGTTATTTTAGTCATTAATGTTAAGTGCATTCTTTGTCAGGTTTTCGTCTTTGAAGACTCGTCTCTGTGAGATTTGCACACAACAGGTCGGGTTACAGGGTAACGGATTTTAAATCCCCTCGCCAGTCTTACTCAATTCCTTTGTAATGAAAATGGCGGGAAACTTCTCAGGTGTGAATTTGATTAACCGCACACATGGGCTTTGTTTGCGTTTGGTAAGGCTAAGGGTTGTCAAAAGTCTGATCTTGAGAGAGAATGGATACATTGGGAGATTAACTCTATTAAGATTTATACTCCAAATTGTCACCGGTGTTGTTTGTTTTCTTGAGTAAATACACGGATCAAGTGATAAAGTCTCGCTTTGTGCCGCGAGATTAGGTGACAATTGCTAACATTTAGAAATTCTTGAAGACAGCTAGTGTTTTTATCAATTAATACTTAATTATTAATGCGTCTGGCTTACGAATAGTTTTGGAATTTGCTGTACTCTGTTTTTCACGAGTATTCGGTCGGAAGTTGAAATTAAAATATTTATCCATATTTTTCAAATTCAAAAGAAAAATATAGAAAATAATTTAAGATAAATAATATGAAAAAATAAATTACGTAGTCAATAAATTTCGAAGACAAAATACCCTATTTCTTGATATTTTTTTTTTCGTTTAGGAGAATGGAAATGACGAGAATTTTCACCCTTACACATCCAGTGCCTATTCACTACACATATATTTAAATAAAGTATAAAAAAAAAAAGAGAGGAAAGAACACATGGGCATAGGATAACATTTTGATCTTGCATGTTAAAAATACCATTTTTAACTCTGTATGAATGGGCAATGGCTTAATTATTTGAACCTATAGCAAATACATAATGCATGCAAAGCTTTAAGTGGTCGAGTCATTCAGAGCCATTTACCTCTATGCTTTTGAATGAGAAAACATAAGCGAAATACATATGCAAGGATGAAGAATAATACATGTACAGTGGATGATTGATAGAATGCAATGACATCATTTTAGAGTACAGTTACCGTTTAATTTTTGGGTTTGGTTTGAACATATTTTATTGTTTAGATATTACAACAAAAGGATCGGACACAAGTTCTTAAAACTTAGAACGTCCTCTCCTTAATTTTAAATTTTAAATCTTAATTTTTGGGTATAAGTGAAGTAAAGTGTTCCATGCACATTTTCTTTCATTTTTATTTTAGATAAATCCTCTGCAATTGCCTCATAAATGTAATTTGTTAAAAAAAAATAAAAGGATATTTTCTTCATATTGTAATAGTTTTATTTAGGATTCTATAGACTAACGAAGAATCACACAATCGTGAAATCCATTAAATAGTTTATCTCGCATCTATACGTCAAAGTAAGCAAAGCACCTCAAGGTGTAAGCTTGCGGTTTGAAAATCGCCGACAAATTGAAAATCTGCTAATCGATTCGATAAGATGATTTTCACAGGCCGATGGGTTTGGTAAGATTGCCGATTGTTTTCTTTTACATGTATTGTCGGTATCTCGATTGATGCTAGGAAAATAACACGACCTGTTAATTCTAAAGTAAACATGCATTAGTATTTCCGGAGCTGGAAAATTATCTGTGATATCACAAAGTGGCTCTCAAATGAAGTCCCCGACTTTGTTGACAGCCAGTCTTTGAATGTATTTGAATGACCTTGAAAAAATTTTGTTCGACAAAATGTAAAGGGTCTGAAAAATTTATCTTAGAAGATTAATTGAAGATGAACTAAATATGTATTTACGGCTTTATGTAGATGACACTATTCTATTATCGGAATCCCCTGAAGATCTTCAGTATCAGCTTGAGATGTTCTTTGAAAACTGTATTTTTAAAAAAGAAAAAGAAAAAAAAGGCACTTGACGGTTAAAAGTACTAAAACAAAAATTGTTGTATTTGCCAAAGGTAAAGTAAGTAATAATATTTCATTTAACTTCGAAGGTGTTCCATTGGAATTTGTTGAAAATTTTAAATATTTAGGAGTAACATTTTGTAAAAGTGGATCTTTCAATTTGAAATGTATCAGAAAGTACAAAAGCAATGTATAATGTTCTTGGAAAATGTGGAAAACGGTATTTGTCAGTTGATTGTAAATTAAATATTTTTGACATAATAGTGAAATTAGTTCTGTTATCTTGTTTTGAAGTATGGGGGTTTAGTAATGTCACTCTTGATGAAAGACTTCATCTAATATTTTTATAAACATATATAAACCTAAAGGACAGATGATACAAACAAACAAACAAACAAAAATGGGATGCCTGGATTGTTATAAATTTTTGGACCTATTTTGATTGTAAATGATGCAAAAATTAAATTTATAACATATAAAGAAATTCTAAACTTTCTACGTTGTTTAAAATTCTACCTTTTTGCGTCAGTCATCTTTAAAAATCTTTACAATTTTTTAAAATCACTTTATAGGACATTAATGTGAAATCTTGAATAAAAATTTAATCTAAATGGTGTACAGTTCTTAAACAAATACTGAATGATTGTGGACTTACTTGTGTATGGCAACAAAACTCTGTAAATATTGCATGGTTAAAGAAAAAAGTGCAATGTTCTTGTAGATCAATCGAAGCAATTCTGGTAAAGTGACTTTTATAATTTACCAAAAAAAAAAAAAAAAAAAAAAAAAAAAAAAAAAAAATTCTTTATAAATTGTTTAAAAATCATTAACTTTTGAGATATACTTGCTGATTTCACCTTCTAAATTTTCTATGAAACACTATGTTTTTGTAACTGGAAATGCTGAGCTTCCAATTGAAACAAAAATAATTTATAATATTGCTAGAGAAAACAGAATTCCTCACTTGTGTTCAAGTAAAAAAAATTGGAGATGAATTTCACTACTTATCTAATTGCGCTGAAAATGATTTTAGACTCGCTTTTTTGTCCAAATATTATCACACAAATTCTAATGTTTTTAAGTTTGAACAATCATTTGATATAAAAAAACAAAACTTTGCAAACTTATTGGGATTATTATTGAGAGAGTTTGACTTTTTTGTTTTGGTCTGCTTTTCTTTTTTCTTACGTGTGCTTTATTGTAAATGTTCATAAAATTTTCTTAATTACAAACCATGGATATTTATTTCAAAAAAGAAAAAAAATCAGGAACCTGTTTAAAAAAAATGTTAAATTATTGTGCAAAGTCAACCTGTACTTGCATGATATAAATTTTAGCTCATTAAATTATTTAAAGCTGGCACATGTGGGGGTAAAAACAGATTTGTAATTATGTTGTCCGAATGAATAGAGACGCTAAAATGATTAAATAGCGTAGTTGAATATTTTATCTGTGAGTAAACATACGTTTCATTCATTGCACAGGTAAATGAGGATTCCTACGAGTTTTCCCACGGTATCGTGCCTTCTGTTACAAAACTATCGGTACTACTTTCAACATCTGCCGAGATTTTTTCCTCAAGCTTTGTTAATTAAGGCTTAAAATTATTTTAAAAAGCTTTTTATAGTGCTTGAATAATTTTATGCATTCATCTAATTTTAAAACAATTTTGGAGTATTCTTTCGTATGCAGTAAGCGTGTCAATCGAGAACTATTTTGTATCGCGGATGAGTAGGAGTGGCTACGATTACTACTCGAGAAGTATATAAAAAGGATTGGATTTTAGCGGTCTAATCAAAACGTGATATTCTAAGACTTAGAGAGGGGGAAAAAGTATCTACACTATCTTTGATTTGTTTCTTGGAATATTCCTAACTTACAACTGTGAGTAAATGAAATATCCTGAATAGCTTGTTTGTTTAATTGTATATTTTGTGTAATATCAATTTGTATTATTATATAATATTCTATTTTTACTTAAAATTGTTGCGCACTACAAATTGGGCAGAATTCATTTCTTTCAAAGAATAATTTTGAATGAATTATGCACTTCCTATTTTAGATGGTGCAGTACGTGAAACGTCAAACAAGTGCTCAAATGGTAGCCAAGCAGCACTTGAAACTTCACCTGAGAAGAATCCGAAATAAAGAATACTCTAGACTCAGAGACATGGTGCCATCTATTGCCAAAAAAGACAAAATCTCCAAGGTAAAGCATCAGAGTGTTAATTAAAGAAAAAGGTAGAAAAATCATTTCACGTCTCGATTCTTAGGAAATGACATGCCTATTTAATTAAGTGTGTACAATCATGGTAATTCAGTTTGACATTATTATACCCCAAGGGAACCAAATAGGCCATACAAACTATTCACGAAAGTTTTATATTAGTATCCTGCAGTGTTAAACCGTTAACCCTGTTTTGATATTTAGCGGTAGACATTGAATTAAGATATAGTATTGAACCTTAATGTAGGAAAAGTAATAAGATAGGCTGTCAGTGTGTCTGCTGACCAATCTTATTCACTTGTGTGTTCAAAAAAATTGTTTAAATTAAACGCTTGGTCAACTAGAAAAAGCTGTTTAGGAAAAATCCAGTCCGCTATGACACATAATGTGTTATTTGCATTCATAATTGGACCTGTCACGGGTTATCTTTACAACTTGCGAATCCTACAAGCTGTTTTGACACGACTCTAATCAGACCTATTGAACAATATTGGTCCTGCCAAATAAGCATTGACCAATCGATGAACGGTACATCGATAGAGATGACACTAATTATCATTAGTCCTTTCACTCGCGCTTCGACGCATCACAGCTGCTATTACACGGCTGATTTTTTTTTCTTGTGACCACGTGTGTCAAGGATGAGCATGTGTTTCCTTTCAAATATGCCTTTGACATATTGTGTATCCTAGCATCTGTTTCATGTCTTGGTCAGGTCGCGGCCATCACAGGATTAACAAGAATATCTAGGACAAAAACCACATTGTTATTTTAATAGAAATTCAAGATAAACAAAATCATGAAATAGCAAGTCAATATTTTGTAATTCAACTTTAGTTATCTGTTTTTTAAGTTTTCCCTATCCATTATGGTCAAGCTCGGTCACTACCAAACTAACAGAAATGCTCCTAAATAGTTAAAGCATTGAACAGCTGTTCATCTTGTATATTTTTAAGTCATGTTTAGGTATGTAATGTTGAGGTCACTAGGCAAGTATTTACCTGTGAAAACGAAATTGTTGACACAGGTGGAATGACTCATGCCAAGACGGAAAAAATACAGAGAAAATGACACATTATCACATAAGTATAACAGCTTATTCCTTTCATGCAGATGTGGTTGAAGAAATTAAATGTGCCTATCAAAGGCTTTGCAAATTTCTCAGTGATATAATAGATTGTGTTAGCTGTGAGGTTTGACTTTAATAGCTATTTTAATCTAAAGTTATAAAGGAACGACAAAATCATGCAGACTCTGAAGAAAAATATGAAAAATGGGCAAGTTTTAATCATGACTCACCGTTAGACCGAAAAATAGCAGTCAATTCTAACGAGGTGCTTTACATTACGATACATTTGATACACCTGTGGACGCCATTTCCTGCATTCGGCGCGCTAATCCATGATAATCGTAGATTTAAAAAAGACACAATTTGTGAAATAGCTAAACAAAAAAAATCTATATGAAACTTCGACATAATACTTTGTTTAACTTGAACAGATGGTATATTGTCCACTTTTTGTACGTGATGACGATAAATCAGTAATGTGTTTTCATTTCTTTTGGTATTGAATCTCAGGTGACAGTCATTGAAGAAGCCGTAAAATACATTGACGAGTTACACAGGGCCCTGTTTGAGCGGTTACATTCTAAAGGTAATATATATTGTTGTAATCGAGAACTCATTACAGGCATCGTTATGTCATCAGTAAAATAATGAAAGTGTAATTCAACCCGTGGTTTCATTACGATTTCTATAGCGGAATAAGGGAACAAAGCGATAGGTACATTAGGTTGCTTTTAGCAATGTGTGTCCACGGATATCGTTTTTTTTAAACTAATAGTGCAAACGATAGTTTTGAAACGCGCTAATAAAAAAAGAGGAAAATAGGCGAAAACCTCACCTTTCCAACGTGAGAAAGAGATACTGATTAATGTGATGATGTTAGCAATTTTAAATATCTTTGATATTGAAGAAAAATCCCAAGGCAACGTACCGCAAAAATAATAGAGTGAAAAATGTCGGAAGCAATTAAATCTCAAGGTATAAAACATCTCTATTTTAGCAGCTGCTGGAAACAAGTTGGTTTCTGATGAACACGTCAAAGACTTCATACACACCTTAATACCAGCGGACTTATTCTCCAAGACCCCAGCATTCAACTCCAACTTTGAAAAAACACAAAGACACCCTTCCTACATGTTACCAAAGAAACAAAAGGGGTTCGGCAAGCCACACTAGCTCTTTGGGCCAAATGTTTCACTGTGATATTAAAAACAATAGGATGAACCGACTGTGATATTTATGTTTTATGAATATTATTACCAATTTTATTGGATTTTTTGCCTTGTGACTTTTCCGATATCCCAGGCCATGGGGAAATACACAAAGTACCCTCAAGATCTCCAATCCTCAAAGTATTCGTCAGTGGTGCCTCATAGGTAATTGAACAGCCATTAAAATATATATATATTTTTTTCAAAGAGAGAAATATTTAATGATCTTGAAATAACTAGCATCCATTCCACAAAGAAACTTTATTATTTTATTCTCTTTTTTTTTTTTTTACAGATGTGGAATCGGCAGAGAAGTCCTTTAATTTACTTGTCTGGTTCCATACTTGGAAGTCTGAATACAAAATGAAACGGGAGACAAAATTGAGATGCACTATGAGCACATTCCGAAAACTTTGTGATCCATTACAATACTAGTCCTTTTATGAAAAATTATATTTGATATAATAAAACATGAAATATGAATTTGTGTTCGATTTCTTCTTCTTTAGCGCAGTACAGGCCGACCCATTTCCAGCCTAAGTTATGCTTTGGAATAGATTTTTGTTCAGATATGCATTTTTTAAGATACATATACTTGAAGTTTAGTGCTTGGATAAGAAAATACAGAGAAAACGAAAAGTAGACTTTTGTAGCAAATCTGAACATGTCATACTGTTCATCACCTTTAATACCTGTAGTTGTTGGAGAGGCAAGATTCAAAACATAAGTACTGCACCAGATTTTAAATGTATAAGAAGAAAATAAATTGCTGAACACTGTATTTTGACCACAGTTTCAATCGCACGAAACATTGCATGCAATATGACGTGTTCATGTTCTAATGTAGCCGAAAACGGTGTAAAGATGAGTAATTATAAAATATCACACAGGCACGTATCTTAATATTTGTGGCAAAATTAAAGAACGGGATCTAAAGTGAAGTCCAAGGTTCAAACTTGGCACCTGAATTGGCTTGTTCAAGTCCAGGCCACTCCGCTTTAATCTTGAAGTCCAGGGCTCAAATTTTCAGTTATATTGTTTGAATAATTATCGACTGAATGTTAAGCTCTGAAATATATATACATGTAATGAAAATATTTATAACGTATTTATTTTTTTTTTAATTTTACTTTTAAAAATATATATCAATTAAAGAAAATTTTCTTAGTTTACCTCAACATCAAACTGTTTCTAATAAATGAAATCTACTTTTAAAATCTCAAGTAATTTAAGATTCAAGGAATAGTCAGTTATTGTGCCATAACTGATACCACTGTCAAACAGGTGCGCCGAAAGAACAAACACATATAAAATGGAATCAAGATCAAGCTTTAAGTAAATTAAGCGCACCTGTCATTAGATTTGATGGGAGATTTAAAAAAATATATATTTACAAGATTGTGTATATACTATATAAATTACAAAATTTATTACAAGACGGCATATAAACTGTCTGTATTACTGTACATTATTTAACTTTATTAATACCTAGTTTCCACGAAAAATTAAATTATATAATATACGTTACCTACTGGGAGAAAAGATAATTTGACATTTGACAGGTTTAAACAGATTCCTTTCGATTACCATCTGTTGCCTTCGTTTTATCTACTAATGTCTTATATACGTTTTTATCTGTGAATACATAATTATTTTTTTTTTAATAGATTCCCTTTACTTACATTGTATTTTGTCAGAGTCTAGACAACTTTGTGTTAAAATATGAGGTGCAAATCAAAATTTATGAGACATTCCTCGTAGGACTGTACTGTTAGTTTGTTTTCTTGACATTTAAACTCACACCTGCTGTGATGGAATGATTTTATATAGAGTGCAAAGTCACGCAAGAAACAATTACTTATTGTCAAAATGCACCTTTTGATTTAAGGAACATATTTTTGGCTTCAAATCGCCACAGCTGTCGGAGGGTTTCACCCCTCGTCTGACTCTTTAGCGTCTTGTTCAATGTTGAAAGGCAAAGACATGCCCTACATTATCTTAAGATATGTACGAATGGCATAAATAAAACGTTTCAGCTGTTTTAAAAATTGTCCAATAATATTGTTAGCTTGTGTGAATCAGAGAAAGGAACGGGTTGCCAGAAATTTAAATATGATCATAAATGTCTCCTTTTGACTTGGTCTGCATTGAGATGATAGACAGAGACTAAAAATGAAAAACAGTGGCCATATGTTCGGATTTTCTTTCCAAACAAATAAATATAAATGATCTCTTGACCTAACTAAGAGTCGAACATTAATCTCTTGACTTAAAGTTTCTTCTGTTGGAAGACATTCATATATCAGCACGGATATCACTGTATGATACTTAATCATAAGCTGTAACTTCAGTATTTTGAAAAAAGGAAATCGAGTCAATAGACAAGCAATTTGAAAGAAAATGCATGTACATGTAAGATTCTAGTAAAACTATATTTGTACATAGAAGTAGTTACTACCGTTTCAGTTTCGGAGAAATTTAAATATAGATTTTCACTGCTTTGTTTTATTTCCACCCGCTTACCAAGTACAATATTCTACAGAGATAAATCTTTAGTCGAATGGGCTAAAAGTCTGGCAGATGCAAATGTCATATACATCAAATGCGGACAGAAATGACCACAGCTTCCCGGCATATGCTGGTCCTGTGGCACGTGCCAGCACGCGCTCTTGTCAGCGTGCCTGCTTAACGACACGCGAATCTGTGGTTCATTATGAATTTAATGTTGGACATTTATGAAGTCTGCATGTCCTACATTTCTTAGATTTGATTTATTCTGGGACAAATATTGTGTAAATGCTGTTTCAATGGACTGGGTTTTTAATGGCGCTACTCTCTCATTTCCACGGCACTACGTAGATTTTAGTAATACGGTTTTGAAACACATGCTAATGCAACACAGGTGGTGAAGAAACAAAATGATGGATTCAAATGGAGGAAACATCAAAAGCAATTTTCTACTTGACGAAAAAGCTCAGGCTCCCAAATTAAGGTACCATATGTCACCACAACTGCACACATAGCGTCATCTGCTAAAATTCTCTTGGTTGAATTTTCCCGCGTAAAACTGCCAAAAAAGGTGGTCTGTGACGTTCTTAAATTTCATCTGTCGTCTGCATCCAGTAGAATAATGTTAAACGGTAATCAATCCCCGATACCATGTGCACGTTAGAATAAAAGAATCAGATAGAGTCCTTAGCATTGTAGTTCGTGTGAATTTGGTCATGTGTATCGGCAGATATCGAGTGTTTATACAAAGTATGCTACAGGACTTTGATGAGACACCGTTTTAAATTGCAATTATCCTTGGAATGAAAAGCGCATTGAAGATAAAAAATAACAATTCAGATTAATATCAAGCATGTGCCACAGAAACCCTGTTTAAAGTAATCATTTAATGAGTTTTGATTACTGCTTTGTGACGGAGACAAGCACACCCTTCCTCAACGTTGGAGGCAAAAGTCTTTATAGTTATAATCAACCTAGGAAAACTTTAATAATTGATCTTCAAACTTTGAAAATATTTTTATGCATTATTTACAAACATCTAAGCTTTTTTGTGGCTTAGAGTAGTTTAAGGAAGTATGTAACATCAAACTTTCTTTTACTGGATCTTAAACGTCTGTTTTGAATTTAATTACATTTCTAATGAATTTTTTTGATTTTTTTTCCCGAGAAAATAATGTGAAATGTTTTTCCCCTTACATATAAGGAATGAATTGAATAGCTATACAAATTATACTGTTGTAACCCGTATATACTTTTAAAAACTGCGAAGCGGTTTATAAGAAAAGCGTAAACTTTCCAAATTAGGTTATACAATTATAACTCAGGTAGATATTAAATTTATTCCTTAAAAAAATTTTTGTCTTGAATTGTAAGACAATTTTCCTTCCAAAATGACACCAAGTTGTACAAAATTTAAGTATACCGTCAAGTGAATTGATACTTTTTTGGGATTTCAGATTGTGACGTAGGCAACGCGGATTATAATTTTTTATTTAATCAAATAACGCGTTATAACCAGAATTATATTATATAAGGGATAAATTAAGGATATACAACATACATACACACACTCCACACACACACACACATATTTACATTCCACATGTATTTTGTTTATAAAATGTATGGAAAGCAACGGCATTCAAAACACCATAACACGGACGGGGAGGTCAATAGGTTAAAGTACATTTTATTTTGACGTCACAAACGTTGAACGCTGTGCAAGTGCAATGTCATAATTCACGCTCACATTGAACAGAAGCTGTTGCAATGGCTCTTCCATTAATTGTAACTTATATGAAGGATAATACAAGGATTTTGAAATATAAATCACATCTGCAGACAAGGCAAGTAGTTCAAATCTTCAAATATAAGCATTGAATCATTATTTTTCGAAAAATGTAATCTCATAACTGCAACGGTTTATGCAACAAATTTTCAGTTGCAGTTATGAGACGACATCTTTCCAAAAATAATGATTTAATATATATATATATATATATATATATATATATATATATATATATATATATATATATATATATATATATATAAAATATAATATATATATATATATATATATATATATATATATATATATATATATATATATATATATATATATATATATATATATTTCTCATCTGTTCAGTTGAACAATAAATCGTAATAATTTTAGAGAAGAATTAAGTGCAAATTTGAAAGAGACGCATACAATCCTCCTCCAAAAAGTGCATCTCATGGTTTTTACAATAGTCATAAAAACAAACAAAAACAAAAAGCAATGCAACAATGGCAGAAAGCTTGCTATGACAGGACTTTTCAGTGAAATGTACATATTTAACCAAAGCTCTTACTAAAGGCAATGTATTTATAATTAAGTTAAGTTTCCGAGATGGAAGTTGTGTAAAGCAATCAACATCAATGCCACGTGTTATGCGCGTGTCGATAAAAACCGTATTGGGTATTTTTCTCCGAGGTAAATGGACAAAGCCAAAGGGGCACTTAAGTTATCGTCCCATTTTTTTGTTCTTTGTCAAACAATGTTTTATTTAAATGAAAAGTTCATGTTTCGAGATAGCTTCGTTGTGATTTTAAATACCTTGAGATTTTAACAATTCTAAAAATCGGACTTACATGTACGATAAAGTAAAAGCATGTTTTGAATATTGATTCGACGATTTAGTGTGTTGGGGAGGGGTCACAGTATTCATGCAGGTAGAAAAAAAGCAATTAACTTATGGCGATGCTTGTAACACAACATACTGCGCGACTATTACCATTCAGGGTACTCGTGGCTTATAAAGAAAGAATCATTGGCAGTTGATACGTACATGCATTTGGTTCAAAAGCTTAACATGCTTAATATAAGACATTCATAATAAATTATACCGACTTCTACTGTAAGTTCTTATGTGAAGTAAAAGACTTGGACCACATTTGTCATCATGATGAAAATCGGATTTTCTACGCGT